TCACAGGTGAGTATGTCCATTAAGGAGTGAAGTAAAGCTCTGTGAGTAAGAATGGTGTTTTTAGAAAAGATTTATTTATGGATGCATGCAGAACTGGGGCGCAGGCCAGAGGTGCGGGGGCGAGAGGACGCCCCAGAGACAGTGGGGAGCAGAACTGTAACTGGCTCACATGTATTTGGAAATCAAACACGTTTTGCTAATTATGGCGGAATTTCTGGTCAACATCAGTTAGGTCAAGTAGGTGGTAAGTTTACTCGCCTTTTCTGCGTCGGTGAAATGCCCGCCTGCAGGCCCGCCACGCAGCGCAAGCCGGACGGAGGCCCCAGCCACGGTGGCGGGCTTGTGTGTTTCCCTGCAGGTCCCAGGGCTCTTGCTTATGCATCAGCACTCAGGGCGGCTGTATCCTCTCAGCTGACCTCTTCGTTGCCGCAAAAGGACCCGCTTTATCCCTGGTAACCTTCTTGACGCTGAAGCCTACTTTTGCTGAGACGCAGCAGCCACTCAGTTTCTTTCACCTCTCCCAGTCTGACGGAGATACGGCGTGCCGTTGCCTAAGCCCAAGGAGCGCTCCGTGATGGCTTAACAACACCCGTACTGCCAGGTAGCCTCCGAGGTGAGGTGCCGACACACCCACCGTCCCCACGGCAGCGGGAGGCTCACCTCTGAGCGCTCAGCCACGCCGCGGGGCGCCGGCGGGCTGGCCCCCTGCTGTCCGTCCAGACACAAGTCCAACACTTGTTCTGTACCTTGAACCGAAACGTCCCCAACTCGCTCCACCTCGCCCCAGCCCCCTGCCATCACCGTTCCACTCTGCTTCTGAGAAGTGGGCTTTTTCTCTTTATGCATACAGAAGTGGGGCGCAGGCCAGAGGTGCAGGCGGCGAGAGGGGAGCAGGACAGGAAGCCCACTGCCGAGGGGAGCAGGGCGGGCCAGGAGCGCCTGGGGTCCCCCCAGGGCCGGGAACAGGCTGGCGCTGAAGCGGCTGCGCCCGCTGGCAGGCAGGGCTGCTCTTTAAGCCGCTGCGCCGCCAGGGAGGGCCGGAGTTGGGGCTCTTTTCAGATCCCACTTGGGAGTGGCTTTTACAGAACTTAGTTGTCTCTGGCTTGTTTCATTCAGCAGGATGTCCTCGAGTCCGTCCCCCTGGATGCAAAGAATTTCCTTCTTTCTCATGGCTGAGCAATGTCCCGCCACACGTCGGCACCACTGTCCGTTTATTCACGACGGCCTCACGGCTGGTTCCCCGGCCTAGCTCTGGCCAACGAGGCCGTAATAAACGGGGCATTTCAAGTATTGTTTCGAGACAGCGATCTCCCTTCCAAGCTGTACCTGGAAGTGGGATTGCCGGAGGCCGGGGGGTGACCCAGGGCGGCAGCCCTC